TGACAGCTGTCAAGTCCATCCCCCCATGGGACAGTGACCAATTTTACATCACTTTATTTATGACGGTCGTTAAGCCAACTGATCGTTGGCTATGGAGTGTTTTTTTGTTTTTGTGTCTTTGCAAAAATCATGGTTGGGGACTGTGAGACACACTGCAAATGGCCATAACTGCGGGACATTTGCTGAGCACTCAAAATACGGTCAGATGACCTCTGGAAGGGGGACAGAACTTTGAACCTCAAATCTGGTTCGTACGTAGCTTTTTCAGGGTCCGTCGTAACTTTAAATGGTCGCTAAGATGAGGACTATTGTTAACTCTCAAATGAATCCTGTATAGTTTGGGAAGTTTGGCTTGAGACTCATGATTTAATTGGGGTAACTGCCGGAATCCTGACAGCTAGCCAACTCTGACAATTGATCATCATTACCGGGACCCCTGACACCCAGCCTCTTCCATCGTTTCCTGACATCTGGGATGTGTGGAGAGAAAATCAGGCAGCCATGGCAGAGGGGGGATTATCAGAGGAGACCTTGCTCCAAGCTACCCAAATGCAAACAGAAGCTGATGAAATGATTACAGCTGAAGCGGAGAAACCTGATCCAGTGAAGGAAGGAAAAACAGATGAGTACTGGTGGAAAACAAAACTCCCCAAAGCTTTGGAAGTTGAGTTCCCCTATCCCCAGGCTAAAAGGGGGGGAAGGCCCCTGAGCGAGCTGGGAAGAGTGGAATGGCTGTGGGACTGGGAACAAGCCAGAGCCTCAAAGCTCCTCTCCCTAGGGAGATCCATAGAGCAGCTGAGGGAGGAATTTGACCGGGCTACTATTCGAGATGATAGCCCATCATGCCGCCCAAAACAGAGAGGAGTTTCCACAGAGCCTTTTGAAGTGAGGAGGAGCAGGCAAGACCACAGCTCCCCTTCTCTACCCAACAGAAGAAGAAAGAGCCTGCCTCAGCAAGCAGTTCCTCTTCCACGCAGCAGGCAGCCCCCTCCTCCTGTGCGAAGCCGGGGAGGAAGACCAGCCACCTGGAGCCCAGGCTTACAGAGGATGATAGGAGGAGGGTGGAGCAGAGCTCTACGAACTGCCCCGGTTCAGGGGAAAATTTGATGGGGACCCAGACCAGCTAGCTCTATTCCTTGACTCAGCTGAGATCCACCTAGAACACTATGGACACCTCTACCCCTCCCCTAGACCCATGGTGAACACCATTTCTGAGGGGTTGGAGGGAGAAGCAAGAGGATGGCTAGCAACCCTCCACAAGGGAGGAGCCTGCCAACTGCAGGACGCAGATGATTTCCTACATCTGTTAGAGGCCAGATTTGAGGAGGCAGAGGATGACCCGTATGCAATCTAAAGCATGGAGGGCGACCCATCAAGGAACACATCCATGAATTCAGGAGAATCAGTGGGAGGCTACCCCTTTTGCCTGATCGGATGCTGCTTCATTTTTTTAGAACAAGCCCGAACAAGCAAATTAGCAAAGTAACCGCCTATCAGGACATCCCGAACCGAGACTGAGTGGTTCCGAGTAGTCGACGGGACATTATGTGCTAGCGACTTGAGGAAGCCGCCAGGAACCAGAGACAGAGGGCAACCAGACCAGGGGCCACCAAGCTGATGGGACAACACAGCACCACGATCTGCCCCAAAACCAACCCTCTCATGAAGCCCAATTAAATGCTACCAATGCTGCCATGTTGCGGCATGCGCAACCCCAGATTTGAAACCAAGGCCGAAACCACCACTCAGGGAACGACCGGAACGAGGCCCCAGACATGCCACCAATGCATCCCAGAAGGCCCTTCAGGCTGCAGAGGTCCCTCTCCACCCAGCTGAAAGGGGAGGAACCCCAGACAACGATGACCAGTCGCCGGATTCTTATGACAGTGAGGACGAGGGCAAAAACGACCCAATGGTGAGTGGACCAATTCCCCCTTTTGTCTTCCCAATATAGCTTATAGCCCTAAGAACAGGAAATAAGGGGACTTTCCAAGCCCTAATAGATTCAGGCTGCATCAGTTGCATTCAGCGGTGTTCATGTAGTTAATAAACGAGGTGCTACACAAACACCTCTATAAGGGGGTTCTTGTCTACTGGTATGACATTCTCATCTACCCTGAGACGATGGACGACCACATACACCTAGTCCGCCAGGTACTGGACAAACTTCTAGCAGCAAACCTATATGTCAAGCTGTTGAAATGCAAATTTCACCACGCACAGTTGGACTACCGAGTCTCCAATGAGGGCATAGAGGAGGACCCAGCCAAAGTACAAGCTGTACTTGTACCCCGCCCGGGACAACGCCTACAGTGGTACCTAACCTGCCAAAAAGCATTTGATACACTGAAAGAACTGTTTGCAAAAGAACCAGTACTGAAGCATCCTGACCCCGAACAACCCTTCGTCATTCAAGCAAACGCCAGTGACATGGCAGTGGGAGCAGTGTTACTCCAAAGGAACGACCAAGGAAGCCTACAACCCTGCGCCTACACCTCCCGCAAACTCACAGACATAGAGAGGTGATGGGCTGCATGGGAAAAAGAGGCTTTCGCAGTTAGATGGGCAGTGCAAACCTGGTGCCACCTGCTGGAAGGGGGGCAGAGGCCATTGGATTGACCATGAAAATCTGGAAGCCCTTAGAACCCCGTGAAAACTATCACCTAAACAAGTTCGCTGGTCCCAATACTTCAACCGATTCGACTTTGTGCTAAAACACATCCCGGGGGGAAAGAACTTTCTGGCTGACGCCCTCTCCTGCATGCCCCAGTATAAATGCGAAAGGGAGGAGGTTGTAAATTCCATCATCCCCCCACCCAAATACCTGCCCAAGTAACCACCAGACAATGCCGTGATCAGCAAGATCAACCCGCAGACGAGTTAACCACGACATTAAAAACCGAACTGCTAGCAGACCGTTGGTTCTGGGACAATCAACACATCTTAACGAAAAGAGATGACCTAGTGTGGAAAGGGACAAAACTCTACATCCCATACTCTAGTCCTTCAGAGGAGCCACGACGCCAAACCGGCAGGCCACTTCAGGTTCTTAAAGAGTTTACACTTAGCTCGGAGGCAATTCTGATGGCCCAGCATAAAGAAAGACTTGGACAGTTATGTTATCTGCGCTGTGATGAAAAAATGACCAGGAAAATCCCTGGACTGCTACAGATGGTAGCAGAACCAACGAGGCCATGGGAGGAGATCGCAATGGATTTCATAGTGGAGTTGCCGAAAAGTGGAGGAAACACTGTGATCTGTGCTGTAATAGACTTATTTTCCAAACAGGTGCATTTCATACCTTGCAGCAGACTACCCTCAGCCCACCAGTTAGCCAAGCTGTTTTTGAAACACATCTACCACCTGCATGGAGTACCACAGAGAATTATCTCAGACAGAGGGGTCCAATTCACAGCCAAATTTTAGAGGGAGTTCCTGCAGACTATTGGGTCGTCCCAGGGCCTTAACTCGGCTTTTCATCCAAGTACCAATTGGGAGTGGGGGCAGAGAGATTGAATGCTATGGTAGAGCAGTACCTGAGGTGCTACGTGAATTATCAGCAATCCAATTGGGCGGACCTCCTGCCTTTCGCTGAGGTCGTGTGCAATAATGCTGTTCACAGTAGCACGGGACTAACCCCCTTCAAAGTAGTGAGTGGTATGGACTTCATCCCAATGCCTGAGTATCCAAAGGATCCCCCCTCCTCAGTCAGCCTGACCGATTGGATGTGAATGCTGAAAGCAACTTGGGAGAATGTTAAAAAAGCACTGGCAAAAGCGGCACAGAGATATAAGAGACAGGCAGACAAGCACCGAGCCCCGCAACAGCCATTCCAGTTGGGGGAGAAGGTCTGCCTCTCCACCAAATATCTGAGGCTAAGACTCCCTAGCAAGAAATTGGGGCCAAAGTTCTTGGGACCATTCCCCATAGTAAAGGTCATCAACCCAGTCATGGTGCAACTGAAGTTGCCCTGATTGTTAGGGAAAATACATCCAGTATTCCATAGTAGCCTCTTAAAACCCGTGGTCGGATCGACCCTGAGGCCTCTACCCTGTGAGCCCCCAGACCCCGTGGTCACAGGAGGCCAAACCTATTATGAGGTGCAGCGAATCCTCGATTCGAGGTGGCATAGGAGACAACTCCAATATTTAATCAAGTGGAAGGGCTACCCATTATCAGAGGCATCTTGGGTAAAGAATAGGAACGTCCAAGCCGATTGCCTTGTGACAAGGTTCCATACAGAAAATCCAACCAAGCCTTGGGGGGGGGGGGTGTTTCACAACCCGAAATCCTATACCTGCAATAAATCTGTTTTCTTTTTGTGTTGTACAGGTCACCTTCAAGAAGTGAGGGGAGCCGAATGTCAACTCATAAAATATTTCTATGGTCGTTTTAGAATTGCTAACAGAAAGGGAGGGGCGAAAGGAGTTTGAAAGAGCAGCGCGGCAGCTTGGAAATTGAAACTGCATTCCATACATAGTTTTTCAGAGGTTGTAACTAGGTGACTGAAGTTTCTTCCGCACAAAAATCTAACTGGAGAACATGACTGATGACTCTTGGCTATGGATGTGTGTCATTGGAGAATATTAATTATGATACACCCAGAGGGGTGGGGGAAAACTGTCAAGGGTCACAGCGAATTATGTGTCTCAGAGTCAGCTACATCCAGGCAGTGCCGACATGTTAACTCCCAATAAATCCTGCTTAGTTTTGGAAGTTTGGCTCGAGACTCATGATTTAATTGGGGGTAACTGCTGGAATCCTGACAACTGTCTAAATTGCTTTAAGAACCTTCAATTTTGATATCCTTGAGTCTACATTTCGATTGGCTTTGAGTTTTGATTTTTTCATACTCCCATTTTGATTTTCCCACCAGGCCTGGCTGCAACAGTATGGGTATTTGCCTCCGGGCAACCTTCGCACCCACACCCAGCGTTCCCCCCAGTCGGTGTTGGCTGCCATTGCTGCCATGCAACGTTTCTACGGACTTCAGGTGACGGGCACAGCCAACGTGGAGACTTTGAAGTGAGTGGCCTTGTTTTTCTTCTGCAGTCCGAGTCATTCACCTTTCACCAGCTTCTCTTCTTACAAAAATTTGCTTTTTGAGCTCTGAGGGGGAAAAAAACACAAACCCACAATGAATTGGGATATTGTTAACGGATTGCTTGCCACAGGGCTCTGGAGGAAGGAAAGACTGAAAAATTGCATGGTTTTGTAGACGCGGCTGTAGGCCTTGACTGAAATCAGGATAATTTATCTTTCTCTTATTGAATAGCAACTGCAATACCAGTTAGACTTATATACTGCTTTACAGGGCTTTACAGCCCTCTCTAAACTGCAGATTAGATTACAGATTAACAGAGTTGGAAGAGACTTTGTAGGTCATCTAGTCCAACCCCCTGCCCAAGCAGGAGACCCTACACCATTTCTGAAAGATCCAGTCTCTTCTTGAAAGTTCCCATTGATGAAGCTCCCACAACTTCTGAAGGCAGCTTCTGTTCCATGGGTTGATTGTTCACTGTCAGAAAATTTCTCCTTATTTCCAGGTTAAATTTCTCCTTGTTCAGTTTCCATCCATTATTCCTTGTCTGGCCTACAGGCACTTTAGAAAATAGATTGACCCCTTCCTCCCTGTGGCAGCCCCTCAAATATTGGAAGACCGCTATCATGTCTCCCCTAGTCCCCTAGACTAGCCATGCCCGGTTCCTGCAACTGTTCGTCATATGTTTTAGCCTCCAGTCCCCTCATCATCCTGGTTGCTCTTCTCTGCACTCTTCTCTGCACTCTGCAGTCTCAACATCTTTTTTTTTTATAGTGTGGTGACCAAAACTGGATGCAGTACTCTAGGTGTGGTCTTACTAAGGCTTTATA